GACCCCTGTGAGAGGGTCGTTCGACCACCCAAAGGGGTCGCGACCCCAGGTTGAGAATCACTGATCCAGAAGAAGCAGTACTGTCATTCTAGACCCCCCAATGCAGATAAACTGATGTCTCTCAGATTGGCTCCAGGTCGGTTTTTCTGGTGTCTTCAGAGAGGAAGTTTCTCCTTCTTTTAGGCTTGAGCTCAAACAGGTCTATTTTGCTACCTACATGAAAAATTTGTCTTTCAAGCAAATTGCAATCACTTGTGTGCTGATGCCTACGCTTTGATTGGAAATGCACCAGAAAACAAAATGGTTTAATGATTAGTTAGATAAAACCCAAAACACACTGCTATCCCAACTTACAGTGACCCTATGTTGTGCTTCTGAGGTTGTATTCCTGTAGTGGGGATAGGTTCCTTTCTCCCATGGAATAGCTAGGGGATTTGAACCTCCAACCTTGTGGTTAGCAGTCTAAAACCCAACAGTCACCAGGGCTCCTCCAAAAGCCAAACTCTCTGCTGTTGAGTCCATTTAGACTCATAGAACTGCCTCTGTGAGCTTCTGAGACAGAGCTCTTTATGATAGAAAACTTTGTGTCGAATGCTCCTTATTAGTGAGAATGGTGACACTTTATTATGCCTACTTTGGATGCTTCATCATGAGGGAACAATCTCTGGGGCAAGGCATCCTGCTTAGTAGCTGACGGGGCGGGGAAGGGAGGGTGCTCACTTGTCACAGAGTCAATTGCGACTGATACAGACTGGATAAGACAGAGAACTACTGCTCTGGTATATTTCTGAGACTGTGAATCTTTATGGGTGTAGAAAGCCTCATCTTTCTCCCACAGAGCCTCTGATGGTTCTGAACTGCTGACCTTCTGGTTAATAGCACACCTTGTAACCCACTATGTCATCAAGGCTCTTTCAGTTTCGTAGAGGTAGATCATAACCAAAATCGATGCCAACGAGTTGAAGCTGACTCATAGCGATCTTCTAGGACAGGGTAGAACTGCCCCTGTGAGTTTGCGAGGCTGGAAGGGTTTATGTGAGTTGAAAGTCCCCTCTTTGTCCCGCAAAGCGCCTGGTGGTTTAGCAGCCTACTGCATAACCCCCATGCCACCAGGGTTCCTTTAGTAGAGGTACCTGCTTGCCACTTGGCTGCAAAAATGGGCTCAAACTGACAGCAATGATAGTGAGGATGGTACAGGGCAGGGCAATATTTACAACAACGCATTGTAATTGTAATAGAGAAACGGAGACAGCGACACTGGATGAAAAGTGCAAAATGTGGATGAAACCCGGGCAGAAAATATCAGCCAAGTATTAAGGAGGCTGAGCCGGGAAAGAAAAACTCGAAGCATTGTAAGTGCACAATGAAAATCCCGAGTAAACAATCGCGTCCACTTAGTAATGGGAATTGTCTTTTTAATTTGATGAGGTCACTAGTCAAGATTTGGAGTAACAGCAAACCATTGATATCAGAACCACCACTAAGCAACCACATTAAAATTCCCCCAGTTAAGGGAAGGTCACTTCTCCAGGTACAAAACGTTCGGGGATTTTCCACACTGAGGATGAATGCGGCCGTGGGGGCGAACCGAGGCGTCATTGCCCCGCGGGGGAATCAGGCCCCGAGGCGCGGCCAGGCTGCCCGCGGCAGCTGCTGACTCCGCTCCAGCAGGGTGGGAAAGCGGGGATGGAGGGAAATCTGTCTGTGCCCAGGGGCAAAGCCCGGCAAGAGAAAGACGTCCTCCCCGCCACCGAGGGGCCGCGCCAGCAGCTCCTTCACTGGTTCTGGACAGGATGGGGGAGTTTCAGCCCCGGGGGAGCGGGATCGTGGGCAGGGCCGGTCCTTTCCTGGAGATCAGAGTCCCACTGACCGACGACCTCTTCCCCCGGCCCGCTTCAACCGTTCCCGCCCGGAGAGCGCTCGCTCCACCCCCTGTCGGTCGTAAAAAGAAGTAAAAGGCGCCCGCGTTTTGCGGCAACGTAGGTGAGGTCGGCGGCGTGGGTCCTATCCCGCCTCGGATCCGGGGCTCAGGGCTGCTGTCTTAGAACGCGGCGACTAGGAGATAGAGGGGAGCAAGGGGCACTTGCTACGATCCTTTTAGCGGGTAAATGGCTGTTCCAAGTGTGGGCACTGAGAGAGAATGTGGGGCAGGGCTGTTAAAATCACTTCCATTCTCAAGTCTCACCCCGCGTCTGGGGGCGAGATCTGCCGCCCCTGACGTTTGCTCGTTGGGTTTTCCTCGTCGCGTTCACCGCTGACTTTTAGGCGGCTGACACGTGTCTTGTTCGCTTCGTCTTGCAGTCTCTCTCCCCCGGAGCTTGAAATGCTTTACCTGATCGGCTTGGGCCTGGGAGATGCCAAAGACATCACAGTCAAGGGACTGGAAGTTGTAAAGCGATGCAATCGAGTCTACCTGGAAGCCTACACCTCAGTCCTGACTGTAGGAAAGGAAGCCCTGGTAGGTGCTTGAGCTGCCCCAGACTTCTTATGAAGCTAACATCTGATTTTTAATGCAATATGCTGAACAGAGTTTTCATCTTTCGCTCTTTAAATCCTGGTAAACAAACTCCCTGCTCCTCAAGGATCTCAAAAGTACAAAAAACGAAAATTGCCCATTAACCTAGTGACTTGGAAAATGAAAGGTGGTTTTTGGCCTGCTTTACAAGTCTAATTGTGTGGCTTTCTTTGAGAAAGCAAAAGTTTTTTCATACTCCTGGGGATAGTTATCAAAATCCCCTATTGCATGAGACAGCCAAGAACTCCTTCCTGAGTTCAGTGCTAATGAGATGCTGACAGCCTTAATGAGTTGGTTACATATTCAGAAACCAAGCTGAAAGCTTCTTTTTAGTAATTCCATAGGGAATGGTAATCTGTCTATGTCATATCCAGAGAAATCCTACCTTGAAGTAGATCTTTCCCTGTAGGACTTAACACATGCACTTGTATATCATGATTGTGGAAACTCAGTAGCTATAGGAATTATGTGGTCACGCATTTTAGTTGGCTCTCCTTAAGCTCCCAGTAAATGTTGGAAGAAGGGTCACATTTAGGATCATGGTCAAACTCCAGGCAGAATGTCCTTAACTGAAAGATTTATGGGAGGAGGAAGAGGATTTTAGAATTCTTTACATGAGAACTGTTAGGTTCCTGGAGTGAGTTATACCTCCGTTGTTTGCTTCACATGATGAGAGAATTCATGCCAAGGCAGGTTTTGTGATCCAAGTGGGTTTTTATGAAGGACAAGACAAGTTTCAGGTTTTACAGTCTCAAAATGGTATATGCTATTTCTGTAAAGTGTGCCAAGCCGTGTAGAAGCTGCACTGGGGTTCACAACTGGGCATTTACAACCATGTGGATAAGAGCACCCACACTTGTGGAATTGGGGGCATCCCAGGAGGCCAGAAGCCCAAGAACCCTAGAGGCTAAGAGAATGGGGACCAAGAGGCTGTGGGCCACGAGTAGTCCCGGCGCATGCGCACCAGTGCAGGGAAGAGAGGCCCTCACCCTCACCTGCAGCTGACCAAGAGCAGGTTAAAAGAGAGCCAGCCCTTTCCACAGGATATTTCAAACCTCTGGCTGGGGAGGTGTGGTTGATGGTATTGGTTGGCCCCATTGACTGAATTAGGCCTACCTGTGTGATGTACCTGGGTGTGTCCAAGATATTGGTTTTACCTGGGCCTAGGGGGCTTGTGTCTGCATGCTCAGTTTAGGGTCTTCCCGTAGATGTCTAATGGTTGCTTGATTTCTTTCCAACCTCCTTTCTGGGGGCCTTTGCAGGCATGGGAGGGACAACTTATAAATAGAGAATTTCAAGTCATCTGGGCTCTGAGACTCAACCTGAAGAGTTAGAAAGCTCTCACAGTTACTTGGAAATATTAAGGAATTAAGGACAGCTATCTGAATTGGCCTTGCATGTTTATATTGTCCTGCTTTGGTTTGTTGGTTCCTAGTTTCATCATTCTTAGGATAGAACCAAAATATTTAAGCTCAAAATGATGGAACTATTTTGCTAACCAGTGATCAAAGGAAAACTAGAATGAATTTAAAAACCATCCAAGAGAATTGAGATAAATAGCAAATCAAAAGGTTTATAAATAATACAATTTATATAATTAAATAATTTGCATATGAATTTAAGGAGCCCTTTTGGTAGAGTCCCGGGGTTGTGTGTTGTGTTGCTAACTGCAAAGTCAGTAGTTCAAATCCAGCAGCTGCTCTATGGGAGAAAGATAAGCCATCTGCACCTATAAAGATTTACAGCCTTTAAAAGTGTATATGGGGTCAGTGTAAGTTGGAATTGACTCCACAGTCGTGGGTCATATGTTTTTATATAAAAGGTACTAGAGCATGTAGAAAGTATGGACCATGATTTAAGTCCTAATATTACCCCTTAATTATTTGGCTTTGGACAAGTCCCTTAACTTTTGTTATGTGGAGACTCAAAATGGATTTCATGCTTATCTTCCCACAGCCCCTGGTGGATTCAAACCAACAGCCGTTAGTAGCCCAGTGCTTACTCATTGCTTCACCAGGGTTCCTAAATGAGAGGATGTTAGTCCCTGACCAGGAAGTGAATTTAGGTCTCAGTGGTAAAAGTGCCAAATCCTAATCACTAGACTACCAGGGAACTTGACATCTCCCTTTTTAACGCAGTTTTGTTTTTTCCCCAAGAGAATCGGTTATTTGATTATATTGAGGTATTTGGGTGTATGCTTATTTCTCTCTAAGTGACATTTAAAATAAGCATTCTTATTTTTAAGTAAATACTTTTTTTAAGGTTAGGAGAAGAAATAAATAGAGTGATGTGTGATAGAACTTAAGAAGAGTGGGAGTTTGTTGAAATAGATGAAACAATGGGGTCCACTACTGCTAGCATAAAGCTAGAAGCATCCAAATTGATCTTGAAGAAATGTGAGGTATTCAGAAAAGACCCTTGCTTCTTTCATTGTTCAGCAGTCATACATTTGTACTTACAGATAGTGGCTATAAATCGTCTGCAACTATTAGTTTTCTGGGTTCATAAAAACTAAATAAACCATATCATAGTTATGAATAAATACACGATAAACTTGAGAACATTTTTTAAATCTGAGAACCACCATTGTCCACTGAACAATTCGTGTGGGAATTGTTAAATAGGAACTAACTTTCCGTGTAAACTTTAACCAAAGTCACAATAAAATATTTTCAAAAAGACAAAAACAACAGCATTGCCATTGGGGATTTTTGACACATAAATAAACATTCCACCTTGCTCCTTAAGATGGGCATGGCATCTATAGTTAATCTTTTCTTTGGTAACGATTGTACAACAAACGTTTGATATGATTGACCTATGGAATGATATGATGTTTGGATTAACTCCTAATAAAATGGCTTGGGGGAAAAAAAAAAGAAAAGAAAGTGATCCTTCCCCACCCCCTTCACTTTGGGGAGTAGATGGTTAAGTTGTTGTTCTTACTGTGTGTTTGGTGCTGACTCGCGGAGACCCTACTTACAACGAGATGAAGCCCTGCCATCCCCACCATCGTTACTAATGTTTGAGCTCTTTGTTGTAGCTGTGTCAGTCATCTCTTTGAGGGTCTCCTTCTTTTCCCTGGCCCCACGCTTTCTCAAGTATGACATCCCTCTGCAGGGACTGGTCCCTCCTAATAACATCTCCGAAGCTCATGAGATAAAGCCTCACCATACTTGCCAGAAGCAATCTTGGCTGGACGCTCGCAGTACAGCCTTTTGGCAGTGCCGGTGTCCTCAGTGCTCTTTGCCAACACCATAGTGCAGATGCGTGCACGCTTCCTTACTTGCTGTCTAGCTTTCTCTTCTATTCATGGCATGTGCTAGGTGAACCTTAGTCACAATGTGATATTTTTTCGTTTCAACATTTTCTGGTAGATTTGCCCAATGCACCATTCATCACTTGATTTCTTGACTGCTGCTTTCATGTGACTGCGGATCCAAGTAAAATTTAATTCTTGACAGTTTCATTATTTCTATGTTCATCATTATGTTGTTTGGTGGACAGCTTTCTGCAGAGCTTCCAGATTAGGAAGAAGTACCTAGAGATCTACTTATTAAAAAATGGGCCAGTGTAATCCTTATAAATAGCAGTGAAACATTTATCTCCATGGTGCTGGAAGAGGAGCTGCCCTTAGTGGAGGACTCTCAGAATCCTACCAGGGAAGTGCTGCCTCAAAGTAGAGTGAACTTTTTGACATGAATGGACCTTCATCTGCTGATGTGGCACAACCAGAAACATCCATCAAACCAGAAACTCACTGCCATCGAATTGATTCCCATCCTAGTGACCCTATGGGACAGACTACAACTGCCTCTGCTGTTTTTGAGACTGTAACTCTTTATGGGAATAGAGAGCCTCATCGTTCTCTCGAGGCACATTTACCTGCTGACTGTGCTTAGCAGCTCAATGTATAACGTACTATGCCACCAGGGAACATATGAAGCTTGAAACTAGGAAAATTTGAAATTGTCAAAAATGAAGTAAAGCAATTGAAGACCAATACTCGTATAAGTGTGCTGGAGTGGACTTTTATTGGGATTTTGGATCAGGTAATCATGGTATGTTCTGCTAGGAATGACAAATTGAAGGGGAACAGTATTGCATTCATTGTCAAAAAGAATATTTCAAGAGCTAGTCTAAAGTATAATGCTGTCAGTGATACGTTATTACTCATGTGCCCACATGACAGATCAATTAATGTGATGATTTAAATTTTATACAATTGCTAAATATACTGAATTTGAAAATTTCTCCTAAACTTCTGTAGTCTGAAACTGATCAAACATAATCAAGATATATTGATAACTTTGGGGGATTGGAATATAGAAATTGGAAACAGAAGGATTGATTGTTGGAAAATATGGTTTTGATAATAGAAACAATGTTGGAGATGACATGATAGATTTTTATAAGACCAGTGACCTATCTATTGGAAATAACCGTTTTTCAACAACATAAACAGCACCTGTTCAACATAAACCTCACCAGATGGAATACATAGGTAATCATGTCAACTACACCTGTGGAAAGAATGGAGATGCTCATGTTATCTGTCAGAAAGGCCAGAGACCAACTATGAAATAAGACCATCAATTGCTCAAGTTCAGGTTCCAATTGAAGAAAAATATTTGAAAGTCCATGTAGCCAAAATACAATCTTTATTATATCCCACCTGAATTTAGAGACCATCATAAGAGTAGATTTGATGGTTTGACCAGTGATGATTAAAGACCAGATGAGTTGTGAAATGACATCAAGGAAATCATGCTTGAATAAATCGAAAGATCTTGAGGACTAGGAGACAATACTGAGAATTGGAACTATAGCCTTTATCTTTAGTTGCGCAATCACTTTTAAACTGATATTTCTGAATACTCTTCTACAACAATCCCTTTCATTTTTAGTCAGTCAAAATCAGTATGTAAGAAATAGTAGTCTTTATGCTCCCACTTTCATTATGCTTAAATTGCAGATTACTCCACGGGACATCAGAAGATTCTTGATCTTGCATAATAGCTTGAAACCACTTGCTCACTAGGTCACTCTGTCCTTCAGTGTTGCCCCTCCAGTCATGCCTGCCTGCCTGCCTTGCTTGTTCTTTAGCTTTGACCTTCAGGAGATTAATCCACAAAGCAGTTTGTATGTTGACTTATTGTGTATTTTTCCCTCTGCAGGTCTTTTTAGCCTTTTTTAGCAGGATATAGGAATGCCGTGTAGAATGCATTGTTCTTAGCATTACATAGGTTTCATAAAAAACAAAAATCTTAACTTCACATTGCAGTTGCCTTTTGTTCTAGCCACAGACCCACAGATTTTTCCTATAGAAGATTTAATAAAATTGTGTCATATCTGACTATAGCTACTGCTTAATATTTTTATTTTACACTGTGCTTCTGAAATAATGCTGGTACATACATATTCTCTGTTCATCATGCCATCTTCTGTCTGGTCTATTAGAATCAAATTTAGAAATAAATTTAAAATGCAAAAAGCCTCAGATGTTAAGAGGTCTGCCCCCTCTTGGGATATTAAGATCGCCCCAAAGACAGAGTTTAATTGCAACATGATATAGAATGCTAGCTCATTGATGAGTCGTATTCAATGATCTGCGTTTGGAACATTGCCAAGATCTGCACCAGTCCCAGACAAAGATTGTTTTGTGCGTATTGAAATAGTTACCTGCTGTCTCCTTTTGGTATTGGACTTACTCTATAGGAAGAGTTTTATGGAAGAAAACTGATTCTTGCTGATAGAGAAGAAGTGGAACAGAATGCAGATAATATTTTAAAAGATGCAGACCTAAGTGATGTTGCTTTCCTTGTGGTTGGTGATCCCTTTGGGTAAGTCAAAGTATATTTTGAGTTTTTAATTCATTTGATTTTTTTAAAGTGAGCATTACTCAGAATCTATTACATTTAAAACTGCTGTTTATAGGCCAGATTCTGATAAAGGTCTCTTTTTACCTGGGATCTACCTATACCTTTGCAGTTTAAATTTTTATTGTCTTGGTGACTGATGAAAAAAATGTTTGCTAAAGATAGCCTTTCACCACAGCAGTTAACAAATCAAGTGTAGACTTGATAGTTGTATCATCGGTTCTGCATTCTTCTCGGAGATTGCATAGGACATCACTGTTATTCATTTATTACATTACCATACTTTCCATTTGCTGCAGAGAATTGCAAACATATTCTGCTTCCTTTGTCATAGGCTTAAAAAAAATCTAGTATCTGGCAATACTGCCTTGAGTGTATTTGCTTATTAAGCCTCTGATTTCAGTTTCTTATATCCATTGGGAGCTCTGGTCTTCCCCATTACCAAAAGGATGGGCTTCTATTTGCCCAATCAAGCATCATCAATCTCTGATGTCAAGTCAAACAGAAGAGTTCATTGTCTACAGCTGGTGACCCAAGATTTATGTCACATATTTAAGGATCATAAGGAAAATAAATCACTGTGAGCCCACCACTAAGGATGTTAGTTCACAAGAATGGAGTTATGTGTGCATGTATCTTTGTCTGTTAGAAAGTAATCTGTGTCAATATGAGGAGCAACATTGTGAATCATGACTACTTGGTTATAAATGACATGGGATAATTACATTTTAAAATGTTTAAATAGTTTGATAATGTTTTCTATGAAATTGAGGCATCCTCCAAATTAGCTGTACCTATGTTTTATTTTTCAAGTCATAAAACCTCACTGCCATCCTAGCAGCCCTACATAGGATCCCGAGACTAAATCTACGGGCTCAGGCAGCCTCGTCTTTCTCTTGTGGAATTGCCCACCTGGCATCAGCATCAGTGGCCACGGCACCACCAGCAATCCTTAGCTATGTGATAGTAAAACAAAAGAAGAAGAGTGAAAAACCTGTATCAAAATGATTTGGATTTCTGGTCGAATTTTCTCATTCTGTCATTCTGCCTAAGATCCCCATTTTTTTTTATAGTGGTACCTTCTCTGATTAAGCTTACCAACTTGCCGGTTCTTATAGCCATCTAAACTAGAAATCTTAACTAACTGTTGACTCTCTAGTTATCCATCCAGTCAATAACAAAATCAAAAAACCAGTCCTACTCCAGGAGTGGTTTGTGCGCTGGTAACGCTCCACAAATTTACTAGTTTATGTTGTGATAACTGCAGAATTGAAGTAACCAATTGAAACTTATATAGCAATTCTAAAGAGTAATTTTGTTCTATTGAATCTATTAGTAAGAACTTGGAGCACACATTTTCTATTTTATTTTTCTAATAATTCACTTATATTGCATTTTATAAAACTTGTAATTTGGAGCTTATAAAAAATATTGGCCTTTACCACAGGCCATTTGAGACTTGTTTTACCAAGTTTTTACGTGCTTTTCCTTATGGACTGTCATTCTACCTAATCCCAACTCTTGTTACTGTGCACCTGGTAAGCCCTGGTGAGGCACACACTGAGCTGCTCACCACACGGTCAGCTGCTCAAAGCCCCCAGCTGCTTTGAGTGAGAAAGATGAGATTGTCTACTGCAAGATTTAAAGTCTTGGAAACCCAATGGGGTAGTCTTAGTCTGTGCTATAGGGTTGTTATGAGTCTGAATTGAGTAAATGCCAGTGAATTTTTGGTCTAATAAGTAGCCTTTTGCTTAGCCAATATACAGAGTCTTAACTCATTACTTATGCTGTGGTCAAATTCATATTTGTAAACCCACAGTTTGAAACTCGCATCTGGATTCATAAATGAGGACTATAAACTCCCTTGTTTATCCTTAAGTGTCTCACAATGAATTTTTAAGAGAGATGTAAACATGTACTTTTCTTTTAATTTGAGTAAACTTCACATTTATATCTTCCTAGCTTCCTGTCCAAAACCTGAAATATAGTAGGCTAATTAAATATTCCTTGAAAGAATTCTTCAATATTTTGCCTAAAGCTGAGGACACGGTTATGTCTCAGTCTAACTTTTATGCATTCAACAAATATCTTTTGAATACTTTTCTTGCATAGGCATTTCTAGATGCTGGGTAGGAGCTTAGTGGCAGAATGCCTTGGGTTGCTAACTACAAGGTCAGCACCTCTAGCCTATCAGTCATTCTGTGGGAGAAAGATGAGGTTTTCTGGTCCAGTAAAAATTTAGAAGCCTGAAGGGGCACTTCTACGGTGCCCTATAGAAATGTTATGAGTCAGAAATGACTCAATAGCAGTGAGTGAAGGGCTGGATATATACTGGGTGATAAAACGTGAGCTATGGTTTACTGGGGGGAGCTGGCAATAGATGAAAAAAATTACCTTTTTGAGAAGGCTGTGAATGGGGGAAAATAAAATAGGGAATTACAGGGGAAGATTTGTTAATGCAAAGTCATAGGTAAAGGTTTCCATGCGGAGGTAAAATACTTAATCTAGTACTGCAAGAATGAAAATTAGTAGCAGGAGAGAAGAGCTTGCTAAGTAGAGGGAACTGGAAAAAACGTATTCAAGAACTGAAAACCTGCAGCAAAATGAGTCTTGGAGAGAGGAGCATGACACAATAGTAGAGGGTAGCAGAAGCCAGACCACAGGGCCTTAAAGGGCCTTAAAAAACGTTCTGTTTTGTTTTTTAAGTACAGTAACAAGCCTTTAGAGAATCATAAACTGGGAATAATCCCAGTTGGAATCTGTCTTTGACATTTTAAAAAGGTTCTAGTAAAGGCTAAATTAATGGATTTTAGGAAGGCAAGAGTGACTGGTGAGAGAGCAAAGACCAGACGGGGGTCTGTGTATTCACCTTGGAGGGGCAAGTGGTTAGTAGACCCAGTTGCTAAACAAAGGCTCATAGTTAGTTCATCCCAAGGTACTTCAGAAAAGGGGAAAGGCCTGGTGATTGACTTCCATAAAATTAGCTTTGGAAAACCCTGTAGAATACCATTCTTCCTCAACAAGCTTGTGAGCTGTGAGGAGGGAGAAATGACTAAATGAATTTTATAGATGAGAGAAAAGAGAGAAGTTAGCTTAGCTTCCGAGATTCTGACTTTAGTCATTTATGGTGTCACTTTGTTGAAATGTTACAAATGAATATGGAATGGGGTGTTAGTCCGGGTTGACTAGAGAAACAAATTCATAGACACTCGTGTGTATAAGAAAGAGCTTTATATAAAAGAGCAATTGTATACTGAGAAAACATCCCAGCTCAGATCAGATTGTGTCCATAAGGCCAATATTAGCCCATATGTTCTGTACCAATCTATAAATTCCTCTTCAGACTCACGCAACACATGCACTGGTGCTGAGTGCAGGAAGACCACAGGCCAGTGGTTGGAAAGTTGTGGATTCAGTGGCAGTGAAAGCATTTCAGTGCGGGTGTGGATCTCCACGTGGCTCCTCCAGCACCAGGGCTCTGGCTCTATAGTGTAGCTAGCTTGGTCAACAGGAATGTCTTGGCAGGAAGAGTGTGAGTCCTGCTTCCAGGGAGAGAGACAGGAGTTCCCAGAATCCTCAGAAGGACATGCCTTCTGAGGCCTCATGGGCTATGGCCCGATAGACAGGTTAGTCTCTATCCCTCCTCTCACATTCACAGGAGATTATATAACTGCCACAAATACGATTGGGGAAACAAGAATTACTGTGTGTGGACAAAGTTTTAGATGTCAGGTAGGCAATTAGAACTCTGCTTCTATAGCTCAAGGTAGGGCTCATCCTGGGGGTATGGTTTTGAAGTCATTACTATAAAGAAGAGCAGATGGAATTACCCTAGGAAAGAAGAGGAGCTCACATGAAGCCCTAGGAAACTTCTGAATTTCCTGGTCTATCTCATAATAGAGGAGATGGAAAATCAAGAGAGCATGTTGTCTCTAAAGACAAGAAGAGGATGTTTTCAAAAACCCCAGTGTGGCCAACTTTGATATGCTTCTAAGAGGTTGTGTAAAAGTTGAGGTTAGAAAAGTGTGTGTGAATTTAAAGGTATAGTGTTTGTAGTAGATCAGTGGTAGCTTCATAGAAGAATTGGCTTTTGAGATAGTTGGGTTCTAATGAGGGATCAGCAGGTAGAAATTGTGGGGTAAAAGAGAGGCGGACAGGAGAATTCCATATAGATGAAGTTTGAAAAATTTCAGTGACTTTGTGACTACCAATCCTCCCCCCAAAGCCAAACTCGCTGTGATCAACCATGTAGGATATTGTAGAACTGCCCCTGTGGGTTTCTAAGACTATTTATTGGAGTAGAAAGCCTCATCTTTCTCTCATAGAACAGCTGGTGGTTTCAAACTGCTGACTTTGTGGTTAGCAGCCCAACACATAACCACAACACCGCATGTCTCCATTCAGAGCCAGATGATACATCTCTCTCCCACAAAGCGAGTGGTGGGCTTGGACTGCTGACCTTACAATTAACAGATCAACTCATGACCAACCCACTATGCCACTGGGGTTCTCTCTCTCTCTATCTCTGTCTCTCTGTGTGTATATAAGCATATGTATATGCTAAAAGTAAGTCCTTTTTAAATTGTAAGCTCTTTACTAAAGTTCTTAAAGAACATAGTTAAAAATCACAAGCCAGTTGATAGCGTTCTCTTCTCACCTTTGCCCTTTTATCCAAATTTGAAAAGAACTTGAAGTTAGCACATAAAATGAATGAAAGTTACTCATTCATCAATACTTCAACACATCAATAGATCTGACTCATTTGCGTGAGAGATGACAGTGTCAAACATTCCAAGCTAGGAAGAGGATTTGGACAAACTCTGCATTCAATCATTTTTAATGATGGTTCCATTTTGGCATGCTTTTCTGTAACTTAAATTACTCAACTATATGTTTTTTAGTTTATGATACACAAATAAAAAACTGTGCTATTAATCACCTAAGTGCTTCTGTTCCTAATGTAG